GCATCACGTCATCGAACTCTTCGAGGACACCTTCGATGAGGGGAGTTGTGATTCCCGTTGAGCCTCCTTCTTCCTCCATTTTCAAGGACACAAGAAAGGTTGGTTCATTCTTCTTGAACCCCTTCAATACTTGCATGGCCGATAGAGCACTATGGGGGCCATCTTCTCTCAAGAGATGGATCGTGTGAAACTCCCCCTCCTTCTCCAAGAACATCGTGTTGGAGTTGGGCTTCAAGAGCACTCCCTCCTTTTCGAGGAAGTTGATGCCGAGGATGACTGGGTGATCGTCCATGGTGACGACGGAAAAGTCGATGAGACCTTCCCACTCGCCGAGCTTCATTGGCACGTTGTGAGCAACTCCATGGATTGGGATGGACTCCGAATTGATCGTTTTGAGCCTCCCTTGCCCCTTCTCGTAAGCAATACACAGCCGGTTTGCCTCCTCGATGCGAAGGAAGTTGTCCGTGGCACCGGTATCCACCAAGGCTTTTGACTCGCCTTGCATGAATTGCGCCAGAACATAGCACCTCCCACGCTTGCTCTCCTTGACGTCGGTCTTTGCCGCGCCAAGCTTGCGGATTGAGCCAATCTTGGCCTCCGCTGCCTTGGGCTCCTCATCTTGAGCTTCCATGGCCGCCAATCTCGCCTTCCTTGGGCAATCCCGCACTCGATGTGGTCCATCGCAAAGGAAGCAAGACATGGGTTTTGGCTCGTACTTACCCCCTTTGCTCGAACCACCTTGGTGTTGTTGAGCGCGAGTGCCCTCCTTGAAAGGCTTCTGCTGTTCTCCACCCTTGTTGGGCTTCGAACTCTTCTCTTTGCCGCTGCTCTCTTGCCTTTTGTACTCAACAAAAGACTCCGCCGTGGCCATGGCAGTTGCAAGGTCTTGCACTCCTCGACGTTGCATCTCCATCTTGGCCCATGGTTGCAGCCCATCAAGAAAGCCGTGCATGGCCTCCTTGTCCGTGATGTCCGAGATCTCTAGAAGCAGCTCCGAGAATTCTTTCACATATTCTCGAACTCCACCCCTCTGGGTGAGTCTTCTCAACTTCGAACGGGCTTCAAACTCCACGTTCTCCGGGTAGAACTGCCTCTTGATTTCTCTCTTGAAATCTTCCCACGTTACCATCACACAAGTACCTCTTTCGACGTCCGCTTCACGTCGCCTCCACCACACCATGGCAACATCAACCAAGTAGAGTGGAGCGGTACGGAGTTTTACCTCATCCTCTTGGATGCCGGATGCCTTGAAGTATTGCTCAAGACTCCAAAGGAAGTTCTCTAACTCCCTCGCGTTCCTTGAACCTCCGAAGTTCTTCGGTCTTGGAACATCAGCACGTGGGACGGATTGCACCGGGGCTGGTCCGCTAGCCATGGCTCTCTTCACGAGAGTGACCTCACTCTTGAGGTCTGCAATCTCCTCCTTCACGCCGACCAGCTCAGCCTGGACTTGCTCTTTCACAACTTCAAGGGCGTTGTTCATGGAGGTGGTGATGGTGTTGTTGATGAGGGCTATGAGCTCTTCCCGCATCCCATCATGGTTGATCTCCAAGCTTGTCAACCGACCAGCCATTCCTTGAACATCGCCTTGGACTTGGGCGATGTTACCACCCAAATCCTCGATGGCAGTGATGTCTTCCGCCAACTTCACTTCCACTCGAGAGACTCGCCTCTCTAGTGCCGCCATAGGATCACGAGTGCTCGACTTGTCACCCTTTGGCTTGGGATGCTTGGTTGGATCCCTTCCGCGCCTCTCGTCGGCGGTAACGCCGCTGTCTGATCCCGACATTTTTGGTGAGGTTCTTCCTTTCCTTCTGGCTCTAGGTTCAACTTTGCTAGCACAAAGCCGAACCAGGCTCTGATACCACTTGTCACGACCTTACTCTCGATCGTGTGGCCCTAGCTCTCAAATCCGTTAGAGCGCTAGGCAGCCTTTCTCTCAACTCACTTGAAAGCAAAGAACAAGAACACAAGACAAAGGATTGGGAGAACTCTCTAGTGTGTATTACTCTAAAAAATGATGGAATGAGTTACAAGTGAGGGAGATGGCTCCTTATATAGGCCTCTCCTCATACAAGCCATCAATGCCCCTCATAATGTCCCTCTACTACATCAATACACCCATTAAGTCCCCCCATTATGCACTCTATAAATACTACCATAATGTAGCTAATAAGTGCACCATTAAGCTCTCTATTAAGGTGGAGAATCCTAGGAGCATCTCTATGCTACTAGTCTTCCATGCATGACACATGTGCAGCCTTGTTGTCACCTTGTTGGCGCCATGTCATCGGCCACATGTGACACTCCCCATCGAGCAAAACCCTCTTCCTCCTCGGGCGGCAGTCGAGAAGTCGGCGGCAAGTCCTCCTCCGTGCGCGACCGAACAAGAAGCTCCACCACACGAGCTTCTCCTCCATCTGGCGACCGAGAAGACATCGAGCTGACGCGCGACCTTGAGTTCTCCTCATTGCGTTTCTTCTTCTTCTTCTTCAATCTTGCTTGCAACAGGGAAAGATAGTAAGATTGTACCATTCTCAAGCAATTCCTTGCTTATGAAAAGTAATAAACTGGCTATGTACAAACTCTGTGAGTTCAGAAGCAAAAGCAATTCGAATGCTGCAATTTGATCCACCGCCAATGCCGCACATGGGTTTCCTCTTCCCCTGAAACTGAGACAGAGCAGGTGTGCTAACCAATTTCTTAATCTTCATATCCTCCTCTTCTTTGCTTATCGCTGCTCCACTAGCCTTCCCCTGTTCCTTCTCTAAACCCAAAGCATCTTCCCCGAAATCATGGAAATCTTCTTCTGCTTCTTCCTTTTCTGTAACGCTGCTTTTCTCCATTGAGGTCGTGGGTTCTCCTGAATCTTTCGATTCTGCCATCAAAGTCGCTTCCTTTTCTTGATCGGAGTTGTTCTCGACTACGATCTTGGAGGTGTCGATCCACCTCCGGCGACGATCTCCGGGGACTCGCCTGACCGCAATGGAAGCGCCGCTAGGGATCAACGCTTCTTCTTGTTCGCCGTACTCTTCCTTGGTGTTCTCGTTAGTGAAGACGAGATCGTAGTCGGTTCCCAGGCACAAGCCGTTAGGGTTCCATTTCGGATTGGCGTTCTTCTTCGCCTTGAACTTCCTCAGTATCGCCATCTTCAACTCCTCGACCGATACGCATTCTCTTTCTCCGAATCAGAATAAATATTTAAAATTTTAATAGTTGTAAAATGATATGGAAATTGTAAATATTTAAATTTTATTATTTTATTATTTTTTAAGGGCCACGTCACTCATTTAACGGTCAACTATAATAGTTGACTGCCACATCAGCAAAAACTAACGAAGACTAACGGAGAGTGACCAAACTTAAACTATTGAACTAATCTTAGTGACCATGAATGTAATTAAATATTTGCAGTGACCAAATATGAACGGTTTTAGTAAACCCAGTGACCATCCTTGCAATTAACCCTTAAAAAAATTGATTAAATTAACTAACCTGGCCAACTTGTGCATCTCTTGTTGGTTAAAGATATCGTAGGGCCAAAAAATATTTTAGGGTATTATTATAAAAAGTAGTTGGATGACACTAACACGAGAATAAACAATTTCAACGGTAATACGAACCTCCTCACCCATAACTCAATCTAGTATTTTTGAATTTCTCAACCTCACCAACAAAATAGTCATATATTTCCTCTGTGGCAAAAAAGAAAACTTTGTTAAAAATAGAAGGGAGAGGAAAAAGTCAAGCAAAAAAACTTCATAATTTACTAATGTTCTCGTTGAATGACTTTTGTTTAAGAAAAATCACTCTTTTTAACTCACAAGGAAGCTTGATGTCACTAAGCCATTGGGAAAGAGAAATGTCCAATGTGTTTTTTCTTTTGTATATAAGAAAAGTGATATATTGTAGTTTACATTATTTAGTTTTTGTGATAGTTATTGTAGTATTTTAAATATATTGTTTTATGATGAAATGTCATTTTTATCCTTTGTTTGTGCAGAAAATCCAATAAAACAATGTATTATAACTATTTCAATCAAACTATCACCAAAACCAAACGACCCCTTATATGCATAAAGTATGAGTAACTAACAAAATTAATACGAGAGTAGGTGTTTTTTTTTTTTTTTTGCTTAAGTCGTCGGACTGCGGATCCGCTTATCCGCCAATAAACTAGCCTAATACTTTCAACTTTGCCCTCTTCGTTTAGTGTGATTGTGAGGTCACAATTTCATATTCTCGAAAAAAATCCCATGAAAAAAAAAATGAGTAACAGAAAGGAGAAAAAGGTCCAAATAAAATGCAGTCAATCGATCCAACTCAAAATATTTCTAGAACCACTGGACCACTGGACCAATTGAGCTCTGGATGTGGGAGGTCCTGAGTTCGATTCCCAGTGGCGCCACTTGTGCGTTCCCGGCGACACCCTTGGTATCAGAGGCAAAGCCTCCCCGATGTTAGTAGCAGAAAGCCCCGGTTAGTATGCAGGTACCCCCAGTGGTTTAGTAGGCCCCGCTGTCGCTCAAGCGGCACGTGGAGCTGATGTTCCCTGGATTATCAAAATATTTCTAGAACGCTATATAATTCAAAGTTCAACACCGTTTGTCAAACGTGTAGGGAAAATGGCAACACAAAAACAAAAATTTGAAAGGGAAAATTCAACGTGGCACGAGCCAATTCCTCAGTGGCGGCCGCCCCCGCCCGCCACCATCTCCGGCCTCCGAGTCCCGACTCACCACTAATCAAACCCACTCAGCGCGCTCGACTCAGTGAGTCAATGTGTGCCTTTTCTTTTGTCCTAATCTCCCAAACGCGTTCCTTCGTTCCTACTTCCCCTGTCTTCTTCTCTGTCTCCACCGCAGCCCCCAGCCTGGAAATTTCTCTCTGCAGCGCAGAATTATCATCATTATTATTAAAAAAGAACATTCCTTTTCCCCACTTATATAAATACATCCACCATTTCCCTCCGCCCATCTCATCGTTTTTCACTCCTTTCATTCATTCCCCTAATTTCTGAACCTCTCTCTCTCTCTCTCTCTCTCTCTGTCTCTGTCTCTGTTTTTCATTACTTTTCTCCCTTTCTGCTCTGTTTCCCAATTCACCCACCTGCAATCCCCAAAACATGAGCTCTATGAAGTTCTACGCAGCTCCGATCATCGGATTCTTTCTCTTCGCCCTTATCCAGCTCAGCTACGGACAGAGCTTAGCTCCTTCCCCTGCCGCCGAGGGCCCGTCCAGCGATGGTAAGTTCGCTTTTTTTACCCGATTTCAACTCCCACTGTTTTTTTCTCCTCGAGAAAGTCTCGAAATCAATGGGTTTTTTTCTGGGTATTTCCCGGATTTGTAATTGAAATTTGCTTGAATTTGCTGCAGGAACGGCGATTGATCAAGGGATTGCTTACCTTCTCCTGATGCTGGCGCTTGCAGTCACATACCTCGTTCATTGATTGATTCTACCTTTTTTCAGTGATGAGCCGATTGAATTCATAGTCGTAGATAGGCGGGGGAAAAAAGGAAACGAAAAAATTGATAATTCTTTTTGGGTCTCTTGCGTTGATTCTCCCCATTTACGGAGACACTGTAGCCTAGTTTCTTCCTTCGTTCTTGGGTTGTTGTTGTTGTTGTTGTATTGTATGGATTCGTTGCGGTGAATATTGAAAAAGGAATAACGAAGTACAAATTCCTCCATTAGAGGAAGAATTTGGCAGTTCCAGTTTTCGTTTGGTATATTTCTGTGTTTTTTTCCCACCGTTGAAGCTTCTGTGCGCTAACAGCTGGCCAACAGGGAAGAAAAAGACGCGAATGACCAGATCAACAGGCCAGCGGGGTAGCTTCTTGGGTTGACTGGTGTTAGGTAGCATATTGGGCCAAGTCCAGCAGACTTCCCACGGCTTGGGCCCTGTTTTGAGCTGCAGAGATATTTTAGGGCCCAGAGGTCCATTATAAAGACGCTCCCAAACACTAGCTCAGCAGGCTAGCCCGGTAGGTGCTTTGAGTTGACTGGCCCAGAACTTATGCCCAACTCGGCCCCATTTTCAAGTTAAATAGATATTTTTCTCAAGGGCCAAAGGCCGAGGCGGTAGATTCATTGCGGTTATTCATTTATAAGTTTTGTGGGATCGTATTGTACCGGCTAAGTTTACGAGTTGAAGATAAGTAGGCTCGAACGGCTGACATCCATGTTTATAGCGTCAAGCCTACAAAACGAGAGTGACATCAATCTATCTAACGAGCGGGAACACCAACATTGGGCGTTGTGGAGTTTTGTACAATAAGGTCAAGTGAAGGAAGTCGTCTAAACCGTAATTTTATGCTTTAGGGGTTGATACATATGTGTTGCTCTCGACATTCTTCATCTGGAGGGGTATGCTTATACTTCTCATATGAATTCTATCGTTCCTAAACGAATACAACAAGTTGAGATCACTATTCCGCAAGTTTAACATCCACATAAAATCTTAATCTAGCTAGAACTACAAGTATAGGTTCCTTGAGACAATTCTTTGACGACCTAATCATATACGAATATCCAAGCTCGGACCTCCCTATCGTACGTTCACCACAAACAACTAACTCGATACCATTAACTTTTTTTTGCCATAGAAGAACTATTACCATTTTAAGTTATTAATTAGTCGAAATGATAAATTATAGTTGCTAGTTAGTGAATGAAACTACAAAATCAACCTTGCTAAAACTGACTCAACTCCCCCATTTGGCGGTAAGTAATGAGTAGTGGATTTTAGGTCAACCTTGCCAAAAAAAATAATCTCACATCTATGGGCCCAACGGATTTAGACCAGCCTCATTTTAGTCAATAAACATGGATTTGAGACATAATCCATCATATGTGGAATTTTGAGACAAAATCCCTCATCAAAATCCTACAAGCAAATGACCCCTTTGTTTTTTGGGTTATAGGTATAATATGCCCCTCTACTATGACGTTTTATCAAACATGTCCCTCTACTATTTTTTACATCAAACATGCCCTTGTACTTTGTAAAAATGATCAAACATGCCCTTTTGTTAAAATTTTCATTAAAAAACCTTTAACCAAAGCCGAACTTTAGTTTGGGCGACACAAATGACTAAATACCCCTAATAAATTCACTTTATAATATTTTTGGTTCTTTTGTATAATCAAATCATCCAAATAATTTCACTTTGAAAAGACCCAGGGAAATAAAACAGGGGACAAAACTGACATTTTCCCTCCCATTTGCCGATGTCGGGTCGTCTAAATCTCAATTCAACCATGATTGACGATTTTTTTTCAATGGAAATTTTAACAGAAGGGCATGTTTGATAACTTTTTCAAAGTACAGGGACATATTTGATGTAAAAAATAGTACAGGGGCGTGCTTGATAAAACGTCATAGTTGAGGGGCATATTATACCTATAACCCTTGTTTTTTCATCCATTTGGAAAAGGTCTTAATCAACCAAATTTGTTTCTTAAGATTACAATCAACCAAAATCAATGCAAGAGAAGAAAAGGTCTAAACCCTAAATATAAAAAAGGCAGGAAAATAACAAAGCCCCGACATTATTTAAGGATCAAACTCATCAACACCACAAGAATCTGCAAGCCAAGGTGGCCGTTACCATGCCCTGCAATATTGAGAGAGTCGCCTCGTCTCTCTTTTTTGGGTTTTTTTGGCCCATCCCCAATTATCTACCATCCATATGGTTAGTTTTAGTTGGCAAAATTTGGCACATACGTTAGGCCACACATTTGCAAGACTAGTCTCTTGGGATTTTTCAGCTTCAAAATGGATTTGATATAAATGGGTTTAGAGTTGAAACTTTGAAACGAACAAGTCATGTGGCTGATCTTTCATATCAGACAAATAGCAAGTTTATTATTAGGGTAAATTACACATTTGGTCACTGAGATTACTAAATCGTGTCATATTTAGTCACTAGAAAAAATTTAATATCAATTTTGGTCACTCGAATTACTGACACAGGTCACATTTGGTCACTCTTCTGTAGTCTCTGTCCAACTCCGATCACTCGAATTATTGAAAAATGTCACATTTAGTCACTCGTATTACTGAAACATGTCACATTTAGTCACTCTCCCAAAAGTTTCCGTCCAACTACATTAATGGAGTTGGACGGAAATTGACGGGAGAGTGACTAAATTTGACCAGTTTCGGTAATTCGAGTGACCAAAATTGATATTAATTTTTTCTAGTGACTAAACATGACACAATTTAATAATCTCAGTGACCAAATATGTCATTTACCCTTATAATATCTCGTTGTAAAAGAATGTCATGTGCAAGTTTTACTCGATTGATACGAATTGGTTTTACTTCGTTAATAATATGTGATTTGATATAAAATAGGCTATAAATCGTCGTTGCGGACGAAAAGTAAGACACTGAATACTCAATGAAACGATTATGTTTGAGTCGAGATTTATATATTGTACGTCATACTCCTGGAATAACGTATATTGTGGACAAATCGATGATGACATTTATATAATACTAAATAAATCGACTATAAAAGCAACTTCGATCAGACTTAGCACCTTTCGGACTCATCGTCCTCGTTGTGATTTGCCTTACCATCATCCAAGAAGAACGGGAAGAGGATTTGATGCAACTTGTTACTTCCAAACATTTTATGGCAAAGAAAAATGTCCGCTTTGGGCCTGTAGCCGCACTATTTTACTTTTGGGCGCATCGTATGATGACTTCCGGGGAGGCCACTCATCTATTTCACTCCAAAATACGTCTTGTAAGATAAGGTTGGATGTTTTTTATGAATCATAAATCTCACTCGTGTTTTGTCAATGCTGAGTTTTTCCTAAGGTGTTGACATACACTCCTTTGGGACTCAATATCCTTGTTGAGTTTGGCCCCACCATCACCCAAGAGGGACGCAGAGAGACTGTGACACCACTTGCAGTGGCGGATACATGCATGGTTAGGGGTGTCCCGGGACACCCCTAAAATTTGGAAACACGATTATTCAACCTACGATAGTAATTTGCGTATGAGAAAAAAGGCTCAAGATAGGGTGCATAACCATGGGTTATGCACCCATCAATAACCAAATCTGGACCCTTCATTTAGAAAATCCAGATCTAAGGATGGAGAATTAAAGGCTATTTTTATTTTCACTAGCTTTCTTAATTGACTCATATCTTTTTCGTTTTAACTCGGATTTTAATTTTTTTTTGCACAGATGGAACGAGTTCACCGTGCTCTACAAAATGAGATCAATTTTCAATATTTTTTTAGGAAAAAAAAATTCTGGCCTCTCGGTACCAACTGCATACCATATGGTATCTTCTTCGTTTTTAATTCGTTTTTGAAAACGTTTGCACAGCAGGGATGAGTTCATCATGATCTACTGGATCTACAAATTTCTGGGTGAACAAATTACAGGACAAAAAATACCACACAATACCATACAATACCACCTTGGTACGTGGTGGTATTGTATGGTATCTTCTTCGTTTTTAATTCGTTTTTGAAAACGTTTGCACAGAAAGGACGAGTTCATCATGATCTATTGGATCTACAAATTTCTGGGTGAACAAATTACAGGACCAAAAAATACCACACAATACCATACAATACCACCCTGGTACGTGGTGGTATTGTGTGGTATACAATGTTAAAAGTCGTAAATTACAATTAATATACTTCTACTATCATGTATTCAACCATCCTACAGTATTGGTTTGTTCATACCACCATGGTACGTTTTTCAAAACATAGGTATGCTTTTATTTCAATACCAGTCAATACCATATGGTATAGGCTGGTAAAAAATGGCTCAATTTTTTTTGTTCGAAAAATATATTAAAGTGGATATCATTTTGAAGAACACAATTAATCTGATCTAACTGTGCAAAAAAAATTAAATTTCGACTTAAAATGAGCGAGAAATCGTCCGTCAAAGATTAAAGAGGGAAAAATTAAAGGCTTTTCATGAGAGAGAGGATGTTGATGTCATGCTGATGTGGACGGGTTACTCATGGTTACTCACCATAAGGTTACTGACCTGATCCATTCCCGAGAAAAAAATGTTTAACTGGAAGTGTGGGACACCTTTAAAATTTGGGGAAATGATTATCCAATCTCCCGTAGTAGTTTGCGTATTGGTATAAATAATATTTAAGTAGTAGTTTATGTGATTTAAATTTGGGACACTATCACTATTAGTTAATATATTTTCAATTACGCTACAACTCATTTGTTATTGTGTTTTAGATCCAAATATAATAGTAAAATGTTATTCTTATCTCAAATTATTTTCAAAATCTAACGATTAAACTCAATTAGAGGATATCCTTGTCTAGTAAGATATGTAGAGAGATATTTGTTGAGCAGTATAAACACCGAATGCATTTTATCATTTGATGAAACACGTCTGAAATTTTAAAGAGACTTTTATTAGTTAGATATTTTCATATTTAATAATTATATAATTTAATACTAATATTTAATTTAATTTAATTTTTTATAGAGGACACCCCTACGTAGAATTCCTGGACCCGCCACTGACCACTTGTAATATCCGAACCTTTTTCTGACAAAAATATTTGATCGCTTGGGTCAAATGTCACATTGTTCTGCTTTTGGGCACATTATAATGACTTTCCCGAAAAATCACTCATCTATTTCACTCCAAAACGCGTCTTGTCAATTAAGATTGGATGTTCCTTATTAATCATAGATATCTCAACGTGTTTTATTAGGCTCTATGTGGTAAAAAAATAGTAGTGCAAAAAAAACTGTACTTAATTATTAAAATCCCAGGGAAATAAAAACAGCTCGATCCATTCCACATCTCAATTTTGCCACCGCAAAGTGGAGGTCCTTGGGACAACCGTAGATGAGGTTAGCTAGATGCCAGAACGAAAGTCGAAAGTTGGAAGTCCTTGCCATCAACTTATATACTCGTGCCATTATCACCATCCCTACCAATCAAAGAATTATTTATTTATTCCATTTATTTTTATTATTTTTGTTTATTTAATTCGCCACTAAACCAACAATTATTACTATTTCCGCAAATAATTGGTGATGCAATACAGAAATGATATTTTTCTTCAATTTTGTATTATTATTATTAAAATCCACTGATGTTGATTATATTTCCCATACTACAAACATGGCGTGACGATTTAAAAAGCACCGCAATTATCTCATGTCCCAATTATGTTGTCAATTGTGTAGTAAACGGAAATCATGTGAAATAGTAAACCGTTGATCTTGACTTAACATTTTGCTCCTTAAATTGGTTACTCCTTGTTCCCTGTTGATCAGTTGTTCATTTAGATGTCAGTCGCGGAACTCCCAACAAACAAAAGCCAAGGTCGACCCAATCGGATTATAAAGTCAAAAGATGCTAACAAAACACGACAGACATCGGTATAGCGCCACTTTATATGGGTAGCTCGATTAATAATATGATGAACCACTCCATATTCCAATACACTTGTGAACAACAAGAGAAACTATTAGCACCCACGGAGAAGAGGGCCTCCCCGTCGGAAGTTCAATCTCGCATCATGTTTGAGTTGTCGGATCACGATCACTAATGCATGGTTCAAACCTTTTTTTAACACAGTTCAAACGAGGACATTTGAATTCTCATAGTTTGGAACAAACCGTATTAAATTAGCCATACTCTTATGAAGGTTTAGTGAGAGCTCCATACTACGACTATGACTACTTGTAGAAAAAAGGTAAACACTTGACATATGCATCGAGATGTTGGTTCTATGAACTCTTACATGTGTTGACCCTTCCTTCTATTTATAACCATGTCGTGATAAGTGGCAGAAAGAATCGTCCCCTTCCTTGGGCGTGGCTTCAAATGTTGGACGAGTGGCTCTTGCCCTCCCAATCACGTAGGTGCTTCTCTTGCTTTTTTCGAGGGCTCGAAGCAAAGCTTGTGTTAGTTTTCATCTCGTTCGTACCAATCCTTACCTCATGATGCGACATGCCTTCATCTCACGTCGTACCACCTCTTGATAAGGAGGCTACACCCCACTCAATTCTTACTATTGTCGATTGCATCTACATGGTCTGTATGGTGAGCCAAGTTTGACATCCGCAAGACTTAGCTTTATAACAGAACATGATTGACCATACAAACACCTTGTATAAAATTAATATGATATTAGGGCGAGGTTGGAGAAAATTATTTGGACCATTGTTTCGTTGAATTCAACAATAAGTTATATTTTCTTTTTGCAGCTTTTTTATCGTAGATTTAGATTCAGATATTTCATATATCTAAAATCCAGAGTATCAAATCTCATATAGTCCAAGAGGTTTAATATTTTAATTTGTGAGATTTTTTTTCTCCAACCTTATCTCTTCCTTTATTTTTATCCCACTAAGTATCCTTTACTAATAAATTTTTAATATTTTTTTGGTCACCATGATTCTTTTAGTTAAGGAAAACATATCATTTGATAAAAGAATAGAATTTTCATATTTTATTGAATTTTAGTTATCGTGTTTACTATTTACCAAACATGAAAATTGTAAAATATTTTTCAACAATTTAAAGAGTTAATTTTTGTTAAACTCCAATTTTTTCGAACGACCCTTAATACTTTCGAAATGTAAACAATTCCTCAGTCCTCACATTATAAATCCTCCTTCACCCATAAACGAGGAATTATTGAGCCGATTTTATTTTATAAACTAGATCTCCAATAAAGAGATTTACCATATCATATTGTAATAAGAAAGAAATAAAAGAACATTTTGGATTTAACAACCCAGAAAACCCCGAGAACTGTTCGAGCTGGATGTTCAATGGTAGGTTTTGCGGGCCGCGGGCCGGATCGCATACGAACGACGCCCACGGTAAACCATCTACACCTTCAGAATCGCGACCGTACACGTGGTCCCGTGCTAAAATGCGCCGTGAAAGCGCACTTATGAAACCGTGCACCGTCCGTTCGTCCGTCTTCCCCTTCGCCCCCCCTCTCTCTCCGTACACACACACAGTCACAAAAACACAAAGCCATCATTTTTTTGGCCATGTTTAATACAAAAATGTTGGGTTAGTTTACACAATTACGATACCAATCCATACTTACACACCACCACCATCACCAAGTCACCCACCACCCAATCCCTTTTCTCTCTTTTATAGCTACTTCTTCTTCTTCTTCTTCATCGAAACGAAAAAGAAAAAGAAGGGAGACCCGATAAAGAAAGAAACAACAAAATACCAATCCTCTTCTTCTTCTTCTTCTTCTTCTTCTTTCATTGTTCACCCAGTTCCCAGTTCTGCTTTTTTTTTTTTTTGCTCCATCCGTAGCTTGTTCTATCCGTCCAGATTCTCTTGTGTTGTGTGTTGTTTGATCGGTTGTTCTATGTGTGCTGTTGGGGGTGGAAAATATCGGATTCCCTTGTTGGAAAGGTGCGTTCTTTTGTTTCCCCTTTTGGCCCCTACCATCGTTTAATCTTCCATTTATCTGTTGATGGGATGGGTTTTGGTTGGGAACACTTTCCCGATGGAAGTTGAGGAGGTAACGAGGTAGAAAAGGAAGACTTGGGTTCGCTCGATTTCGGGCATTTCGGTGGTAGTTTGGCCGATGATGCATTGATGAGGGTGAATCTGCATGTGGGCAGATGATCGCGTTGTTGGGTTTCTGTGGGTGCGATGATATGAAATGAGCTTTTGGTGTGGCATTTTGGGGATGATCGTCTGTGTTTAGACATGTTCAATCAATTAGTGTGTCGGTCTCGCCCTTTTTAAGAGCTGATGCCGTTGTTGAAGGATCGTGCGAATCTCTGAGCTAAACTGATTGTTGGTGCTTTTGATTTAGGCATTTAGCTGGTTTCATGTGTTCTTTCATGCTCTGATGGTTTGCTTGCTGGCTCTGTGTGTTTGATTTCATGATCGGGTTTCAGTTTTGCTGTTGTTGGTTGATTGGGGAAATCTGGATATGATCTTGGGTCTTTCTGCGATCGTTCAATTGGGATCAATTGAGTTGGCACTATGTGTTTCAGTTAGATGATTCTCATTATCTTGTGTGTGGCCTGAATGTGTAAATTGGGTGTCACTGGTTAGGAAGCTAGGCTACTCACAATGTAGGTTGCAACACATTGGTACTTATAGGGTTAGAATCCTTAGGTTGATTATTTGGTTGGCAGATCATTGGTTTTATGCAATCCAGTCTTAATTAGTGTAGTGATTTCGATAGGAGGCGTTCATTGAAGAGTGACTGCCAAGTGGCACATTTTGAATGAAATTTCAATGGTTGATGTGCCTCATGCTGTTGTTTCTCTTCAATGAATTGTTGTTCGTTGTCGTTTGTACGCTGGTTATCCACGTGTACAGATTTTCAGACGATTTGTGAGTAGAGAAATTGATCTAGTTTGTTAACTTTTACAGGGTGAAGCTAAGGAGTGCCAGCTTTTTGATTAAATCACTTTCCAACTGGAACTAAGGTTCTTGGTAAGAAGAGTTGTTTTTTCCTGCTTCATCTCATTGTTGTTTTCCTCTGTACATATGATTTCTCATAATTGCCTGTCTTACTTTTCCTTTTAGGCTATTGTTATTTATTGTTTCATTGTTCTGGAGGATAGAGATATAAAGTGCTTGGCTTTTGCATGGGAAAAGAATGCCAGATTTGCAAGTTGGAGTTCGGCGATCACAGAGGGTCAGAAATAACCAGAACCCTTCTGGTGTAGTTGCTACGGCGACACGTGGTGGTAGGAGAGGTACTGTGCTCCCCTGGTGCTGACTTATTATCAAGTAACACATTTATAGAAATATGTTAATTGTTTTTTTTTCTTTGTCTTTATGAAGGACGTGGCAGAGGAAGGGGCTGCAGAGTGATGAATCACAACGATAATGGCAAGCTTTTGGGTCACGTTCGCCCAGGTTTGGAAATGCCAGTTAGGCAACCAGTTGAGAGAAGTGCTGAAAAATTGGTCGTTGGTGAAGAGGAAGGCAGCACAAGTCCTCTACCTGAACGGGTACTGATTTTCTTAGCCAGACTGTGGCAGTGCCTTAACCTTGTTCTGTTATTTCGAGCCTGGTCAAATGCAGGTAGTATAAGCTGATTGCTGTAGTGTCTAGTATTCAACTAAGGTACACTGGAAATTTAGGATGAAGAAAATTTACATATTGGGAAGTTAATATAAAGTGCTACATTCATGTTCCTCTTGAAATTGTTTAGGTGATATAAAGTATCTTTCCCTTTTACTCTTCTTCAATAGGTGAAACTTGGGAACTCTCCGGTGTACAAGATAGACAGAAAGCTTGGGAAAGGAGGCTTTGGGCAAGTTTATGTTGGAAGAAGGGTGTCGGGCGGCGCTGGGCGCTCAGGCCCTGATGCTTATGAGGTTTGTCCCTTAATCACTTTATCAATCCACACACATTCTTTTCTCACTTAGCTTTGTACCTGATGACCTTTGTCGCCTTTATGTTTCTTGTTGTCTCATTTCTTCTCCAAATTTTGTAGCTTGCTTTAAAATTTGAGCACAAGAATAGTAAAGGATGCAATTATGGTCCTCCCTATGAGTGGCAAGTTTATAGGTATGATTTATGAGGGGTTCAGTTGAATATATGGTTTAACTTAACATTCTATGACCTAACAATCATCCTTTTTTGGTATTAATTCTTTTGAAGCACCCTCAATGGTTGTTATGGGCTTCCCTTAGTCCATTACAAAGGCCAACAAGGAGATTACTATATCCTCGTAAGGACACAAACTCTCTCTATAATTATCTGAAACTCTCCTTTGATGCTTACATCAGTATTTCTGTCTCTTTTTCTGGAACTTTTGTTTTCTTCAGGTAATGGACATGCTTGGGCCAAGCCTGTGGGATGTTTGGAACTCTAATAATCAAATGTACTTGATATATCTATTTTCTTTTTGGCGCTGCCTTCCTTCAGATTTTGTTGTTGTTGTTCATAGAGACTTTTATAATGATGAATGTCACAGTCTTATGCTTAACTGCAAAATGCATATGATGCAGGCTTTCTGAACAGATGGTTGCTTGTATAGCAGTGGAGTCAATATCCATTTTAGAACAGCTGCACTCAAGAGGGTATTGTGAAATCATCAATTTCTGTCCCTTTTTTTTACCATACCGAATAGTATGTAATGCATTTCGTATTGTTCCTTAGCTTTGTGCACGGAGATGTTAAGCCAGAGAACTTTTTGCTCGGTCAGCCTGGAACACCTGAGGAGAAGAAATTGTATCTAATCGATCTTGGTTTGGGTATGTGTCCGTCTCTTAAATTTTTAACTCGGGATCTATGAACCTCCATCTTTCTTAATGGGAGAACTGACGCTGTAACAATAATGCTACTATCCATTTCAGCTTCAAGGTGGAAGGATTCAGCATCTGGTCGTCATGTGGATTATGACCAAAAGCCTGATGTTTTTAGGTGATCACCTCTGATGTTTCTTGTCTCTTGCACTAATGAATGATCATGATTAATGAGAAATTCCAGTTTTTGTTTCCGGAACTTATGATATCGAGTTATGGCAGCAGTTTGTCATGGAACTGCTCTTTTATATATTTTGAGATTTCTGAGAATTCTTCAAGAATATATTTATACATTTTGGGTATAAAAAGATGAATTAGAATAACCAAGTGATTCAAGGTTTGGAACTCCAACAAGAATTCCCCACTCCCCCCCCCCCCCCCCCCCCCCCTCCCACCACCACCCACAAGAATCTTGTGTAATGCCACAGAACTTTAATGGACCACCTTCAGCATTCTGTCTGAGAAATTTGAATATCTTCACTCTTCTTTGCTTTTAGGAATGATCTGTGGATGGACTCTCTCTAAAGTTTGGATATTTGTTCTCTTCTTTGATTTTAGCACATGGCTATGCTTCTTTTAGTGTTACTCTCCTCTGAAAACTTGGGCTGAAATGAGTGTCAATTTTCCTGTTGGCCCTGTGCTGTTACTTAGTTAACATCCAGAAAGAAGATTGTGATTCTGCGTCTAATTGATTTTCCTTCCCCCCCGTCATACATTTGTGGGTTCCTAATACCCAATAACTGCATTTCCCCCTAATTTATGCAATAACCATACTTATGTTACCTTTTACAGAGGCACCGTGCGCTATGCTAGTGTACATGCACATTTGGGTAGGACAGGGAGCCGTAGGGATGACCTTGAGTCCCTAGCTTACACCTTAGTATTCCTTCTTAGGGGAAAGCTTCCATGGCAAGGCTACGTGGTAACTATACATTCCACAAAAATCTCCATATCTAGCTTTTTCTTCTTCTGCTAAAACGTGATCGTTTGGTTGTGATGCAGGGTGAAAATAAAGGATTTCTTGTCTGTAAGAAGAAGATGGCTACTTCTCCTGAGATGCTGTGTTGCTTGTGCCCTCCTCCATTTCAACATTTTCTTGAAATGGTCACCAATATGAAATTTGACGAAGAACCAAATTACTCAAAGCTCATATCCATTTTTGATAACAGTATAGGCTCCAATGTCTTGCTACGGCCAATTCTAACTGATGGGGCCATAAAGGTTGTTTATTGGTTGCTTAATTGGTATTACTGTCGTTTTGCTTTAAGTGGTCGTTCAGTTTCTAAATTATGCTTTTGGTCTTTAATGTGCTTTAGGCTGGCCAAAAGAGGGGAAGGTCTCTTGTTGACTTGGGAGACGAGGGCCAACCGAAAAAGAAAATTAGGCTCGGGACCCCTGCCACACAGTGGATTTCAGTATACAATTGTAGAAATTCAATGAAGCAGAGGTATGTGATGCAAATAATACAATAATTCAAATCATACTGAGGCTGTACATCCTCACACGGTGGTATTTTGAGCATATACAATAATACAAATAATTCTTATGTGCTGGTTGTGAATTATGATCTAGTATATCTGATTAATATATTTTTTTGTTAACATGGGTGCTATTTCATCCCAGTCACTCGCTTTTTGCATCATTTAGCCTATTAGAGCACCTATTTCTGCCATGGATTTTGAGTCTTAAACACCAATTTGTTGGATTTCTAATCCGGTGATGGGAACTCTTGACATGCAGGTATCATTATAATGTTGTAGATTCAAGGCTTGGGCAGCATGTTGACAAAGGAAGGGAAGATGGTCTGTTCATTAGCTGCATCGCTTCATCTGCCAATTTGTGGGCAGTTGTCATGGATGCAGGAACTGGGTTCAGTGCCCAGGTTTATGAATTATCTCCCATTTTCTTGCCCAAGGTTGGCATTCTCCACTTTTCTGGAATACATATGGAAGTCCTTTCTTAGCCAGCAACGTTTTCATGCTTTGTTATTTTCTTATTATCTCATCAGGAGTGGATAATGGAGCAGTGGGACAAGAACTTTTACATAACTTCTATAGCTGGGACAACTAATGGAAGTTCGTTGGTGGTTATGTCAAAGGGTATAGATATATTTTAACAAAATGTTTGTAAAATCTTTTCAATATTTTTTCGTTTGTTTGATCAATCTAGCTGCTCCAGTATTTTGACCTGGGAAACTCTTTTTGTTTAATGATCTTGAAGGATTTTGATTGATTGGGGACTTGCTGAACTTAGACAGACTGGACTAGGCTAGCTGAGGGTTGAGGGCTTGTATTATTGAAGGAATTTGCCCTGATTTTGAAGTCTATGATTTTCATGAACAAAGTTTGATGGCTTCTGAACTAGGCGGGATTGGATTAGGCAAACCCTACTCAAGGATGTGCCTTAGTTCACTATAGTTGGTTTCAGAAGGATGCTGTCCTATCTCTTTCCTACTAGAATAGTGATGTTTCCTATGACGGGTGGCAAGTTATGATATTTTAAGAGTTTCCCAATGAAGCAAAAGTAGTATGGGTGTGGAAACATGCCCGTGCAGTAGAAGATCATGAACAGTGCGTGATGAGGAAACAATAGTTTCCTTACTATACAGTTTTAAAAGTATTGAGTGTATTCAACCAACAGCTTATACACATTTCGCTAACCCTTGAGTTCGTATTGGCTAATATGCTAATTGTTTTCGAAGAGCTTTTTGCTTAGTAAATCTGACATTTTCTCTCTTTGTTTTTGTAGGGACTGCATATACACAGCAATCCTACAAAGTTAGTGATGTATTTCCTTTTAAATGGATCAATAAAAAATGGAAAGAAGGATTCTCTGTTACCTCAATGACAACTGCAGGCAGTAAGTGGGGGATTGTCATGTCCAGGAATGCGGGTTATCCAAACCAGGTTGGGCTAATGATCTTACCACACTCCTTGATACATCTATTTGTGAAGGAATATCCGAATATGGATCAAAATGCTAATATGTTGCCTCCCTGCTCTCTCTCGACTAGGTGGTTGAACTTGATTTCCTTTACCCTAGTGAAGGGATCCATAGAAGATGGGAGAATGGATACCGAATTACTGCAGCAGCAGCTACAGCCGACCAGGCTGCGTTTATACTTAGTACCCCCAAGAAGAAAACACCAGAAGTTGCTCAAGAAACCTTGAGGACTTCTGCTTTTCCTAGTACCCATGTTAAGGTAAACCAAAAAGTTTTAGGCTTTTCTGCTCTCATGCTCCTATGTGAAATAAATAAACTCTCCTTATTGATTTATCCTTGGAAAACAAACCCTTTGGCTTGCTAGGCTGTTAGGCTAATCAACCAATTGATTCATCTCTTCTATCTTTCGTTTTCCTTGCTGTTGTTTTCATCTAATTCACAATAAATTTGGTCTACTGTCTAAGAAGGAAGGGTTGTGATTTTTTCCTTGTGTGATGATGATAGGATAAATGGTCAAAGAATCTGTATATTGCCTCAATATGCTACGGAAGAACGGTATCCTAAAGCTTCCGACTGGTTGGAGGAGGCCACCTGTCTCCCAATCCAGAATCAGGTACTCAATCTCTCATCTCTCTTTCTGTCGCAAAGCCCGCCGCTAATGAATGTACTGAGCGTTTTTACATATTTGGGGGCGGAAATAGCTGACACTCTCTGTTCTAACCTAATATAGGTTGTTGGGTTCACTTCTTAGCACTGGTGTATTGCCTGCCTAAGAGTCTTTGGGGGAAGGAGCAAGAGTAATATCAGTATGGCTAGAGAATTCTGTTTTTGGTTGTTGTAGAGGGGTTACCATATCCATCAATGATGAAGAAGAAGAAGACATCCTTAAAGCGCGCGCGGTAGAATGAGCCGCTGCCAGCATCAGTATTCATGTCTTTTGACTGGCTCATTCTGGTCTTTGCCTTATTTTGAAAAAAGAAGCCAGAACAAAAAGGAAGTTAAAAATGTTGTATAGTGACTAAAATCTATATTATGACGGAGAAGGCTATGATGGCTGCCCTGTTGTTTGGAAACTGGTGTAATAGTCTGGAGAGAAACCCAGTAAACTGGTATACACAGTCCGAAAGGAACATGGTGGGTTTAGTGTATTTCAGTCTAAAGGCAAAGTCTGGAGGGTGCTAGGTTTGCTACAAGGAAAGGTTCCCCTAAGCCTCCTGTTGTAATGTACTTTTTTCCCGAGAAAGAAGAAAAACATACTCGGCTCCCCGCCCTCCCACCTATTCTGCTCATTATTATGTATGTATGGTCAGATTGACTTAGAGATTCATCTCATCCATGTGTTTCCATTTCTCTTTAGAAGATTTGATGACGTGCTTTCACATCACCAAGTTATCAAGCAATGTCTCCATTGCCTCTGCAGTCGTGGAGAGCGTGTTGTAGCCATTTGTGGATGTGTTTTCGAGACGAATCGGACTATGTATTCCAGGTGCATCGAGTGTTCACTGTTGCTGCTGAGACAAACCTCATGCAAGGTTTGTGGAGTCTGACCACAATGGCTGAAAGAGCTCAACATGGAGAAGTAGTATGTGTAGTAGTCCCATCGGCTTCGGAAGTGTCTCCTATGGTCAAATCCGGCCCACGATCTCGGCCCACGGTCTGAGGTATGATTTGGGCTTGCAAGGTCCACATTTCGGACAAGATTGTGTTCCTTGCTTCTGCAATGTTCAGACTCTGTCTTCCTCACACTGAAGCTCCGCGTCAGAACACGCTCCTTCCCATGTGTGGGCAGCCAAATTGGACCATTCGAGAGACACTTGTTGCTGAGTAGGATCCACTGTTGAGATATTTGAACTATAGTCTATATATAAACAAACAAACGCAGAGCTCCATGGATTCAGTCTCCATAGTGGGAATACAAACGAAGAAAGAACAATCTCTCTTCTTTGCTGCTCTGTTTTTCTGTTTTTTGCCCGGAAATGGGTATTGGAGAATACTGGTGCGGCAGTCCAGGCACTGAGACTATTCAGCTAGGGAGGAAGAGCGGTGTTTCTTCTTATTCTTCTTCTTCTTCTTCTTCTTCTTCTTCTTCTTCCAGTGGAATCATGCGCAAGGCGAGATGGAAGCTGGTTTTGTTGAATCTGGTGAAGGAAAAGAGTGCTACTACTGCTCAATACGATGAGTTCAGTTATGCCCTCAACTTCGATCGAGGGGATGCAGCCGCTGCAGAAGCAGCCATGGATGAACCAGAATACTTCCGCCGAACTTTCTCCGTCCGGTATGCCGATCCCTCCACCCACCGCCGCTGCAGCAACAACAACAACAATCCCTCTCTGCTTTAATCCTTTCCTTCCCCTGGTTTTTTCTTTTACCCTTTTGATCTGGGAAGTAACTGTATAGCAGTATTAGGAGCTGGCATTCTGCTGTAAAAAGACTGCCATTCATAGTCAGATGCTTGCAATTTCTGTTTGCCTGTGTACTTTTCTTACAAAAAAGTAGTTCGTTAGCTGTACTGTATATGTCTATATCGATCCAGCAGATTTTCTTGTCCTTCAATGGATGCTGCTGACAGAATCAAGATGTGATCTGTGTAATGATCTTCAATTGCGTGTTTACAGGTAGGTTTTAACTAAACGCAGCACGCTTTGTTGTGACTAATGTAGATTCGAATAATTGCCCTTTTCTGCTTATGAGAGGTTGTTCTTCTTCCTCCAAGGCAGATCAGCTCAGCAGGTGGCCCTTTTCATTTTAAGTTTCGTGGGGTTGACACTTTGATTACAAGATTGAAACTTTTCGTTAGATATCAATCACCACTACCTGGAGTGAGAAACAAGCAAGGAAGAAACTGCATATACAAAAGATGAACAGGAGCCATTGGATTCTTAGATCCAACAACCATATGTGCCGACTGATTAATTTCAACGGATGCGAATTCATGTCAAACTGTACTTTGGGCACCATGGCACAAAGAATATGCTGAAAGTTTCCACATCGGGCAGTGATTACAACACGGTTTAGGACTGAAGGGTCCCCCGCTCCCCAGGCCTCTAACTCCCAAGACTTTTCTTCTTCCATGAAAGCTGCTGGGAGATTTGGCGATGCAATTTCAGTAAGAAAGAAACTGCAAACTCTTTTAATGCCATTGTTATCGAAACGCCTCCATTAAGAAACCGAGGCAATCAATAGAAAGATAGAAAATTTCAAGTGTGCTCTGTCAAAATCCGGGACCTTCTGCAAACAGAAACCGGGAGAGTAGATTTTGAAGAACCAGAGAATGGTTCTGATACTTGGTACCGGGCTCGCAATTGTTTAACTGATTTGAGTCTTTCGCTAACTGTAGAACTCGGGCTTCAAGACACCAACATAGGGCAAGTTCCTGTATGCTTCAGCAAAGTCCATTCCATATCCCACCACAAAGTAATCTGGACACTGCACAATGCACAAAACATGAGCAGCTCAGCAAAAGAGACCCACCAAGTTTAGCATCACCATAGATGAACTTCGTATCCAAAGGCGCAAACTTAATCAATCAAGTTTGCAACTTCGACGATGAACCCTGTTAGCTGTGATGTATGGAAATTAGAGGGCTACAGATTGAAATGTGGCTCTAATGGTTTTTGGTTTCCTGCCTAATTCTGATTTGCTCTTTGATTGCTACTGCTGCTTACGGATTTTCTTAACAGTTAACAGTGATAACAGTAGAGAAGGAAATGCTACCAAACCAAGGTCGTGAAATTCTCCATGTTCCCTGTTCTCTTCACAAAGTTGAGTTCTTTTGCAATGCAGGCAGAGAAGCATGTTAAAATAGAGCAAAGAAAGCAAAGCCCCAAACCTCGAATCCTCTGTAGTAATTTCCACTACCCACAACCCGAAACTCAACTTTCCGTCTCGCCGGCTTATCCAGAAAAGCACAAACCGACACCGACGACGCACCCTTCTTCTCCAAGTGGGCAATCAGACTCGCCACTGTGCTCCCCGTATCCACAATGTCCTCCACCTACACGGAAAGAAATTCTTAATTCCCCAATCCCTAGTTCCAATTTTTTAAACAGCTTCGGGCAGTGAGGGGAAATCGCTTACCAGAATGACGTGTTTACCCGTGACGTCCAGCTTCAGGTCGAGGGAGAGCCGTGGAGCGCCGGTGGATTCTGTTCCGGCGCCGTAGGAATCGGCGCGGATGAAATCCACTGAAATCGGCAGCTTGATTTGCCTGACTAGGTCGGCCAGGAAGACGAAAGCTCCCGTGGCGACTCCGACGAGGGCCGGGGCCGGAGAATTGGGGGAACAGTCGGAGGTGATCTCCGCGGCTAGCTCGGCGACGCGGTCGGAGATTTCGCCGGCCGTCCATAGGACCTTCTCAATGTGAGAGTCCAGAGCCATTGGCGCTCAGATGACTGAAACCCAGAGAGGGTTTTATTTACTTATATTTTAATCGCTTTTCTTTGTTTAAATACGACGGCGTTTCAGTGATGTTTTTGCCAAATTCATAAGAGCACACATCTAGTCTAGATCTAGTCTAGATAATAAATAAAAGCCGAATGATGAAAACTGTTGCTCCATTTCAAATTTCCTGCAACGAGAGTGATTATAGGAAGGACATTTTGGTCTTCACAATTGCTTATTTTCTTATTTATTTATTCATAAAAAAGGCATGCACTGGGATTTGAACCTTGGTCTCTTTAAAGGCAAGCAAGGATCATAACCAATCACACTAAGTATATTTGTTGTATCTATTTAAATTCAAACATACACGAACCTAAATTATGAAAATCATATGACTTTTTTAACGATTAGTTGGCCACTTAATCTCCCGTAAGTACTTAATTGGTGTTTTAATACTTTGATTATTTTAGTTGTAGTTTAATACTTAATTTAAATTTCTATCTATTTTATAAATATACAATAACCCTAAAATTGCAGCCAAAATATCACTGGTTCGAATATTGCATATCGAATTGCAATATTAAACATGTAGAAGCAATATCGACTTCTTAAATTAATATTATTTTTCAGAATTACTATCGAGAAATTATATCTTTGTGCAAACTATATGAGACTGGTTCTTTTAATGTTTTAGTCGGGATAATCGCTACATTTTAAACTTCTTCATAATCTGGCATGATTGGATCCAATGATCATTATACAAGACTGTGTTTAATAGGGTGGCTCATTTCACCACTTTTTGGCGTGTTAATGAATTTGTAGGACAATGACAGGTCTACATCTACACTCATCACAATCTACACATCATATAAATGTGAAATGTGAAATGAGAAAAGAGGGATTCCATTTCAAATTTGATGCGTACAGAGCAATTTTAGGGGTAAATTTAGAAGATGCCAGTGCGGTCGGTCTGTTGAGCACGAAAGTAAAAATATGTTTTCATTTAAACGTGCCCAAACTGTTATTTGGCCCACTAATCGTGCACCCATCACCAATGCAGTCAAATTCGGGATTTTGATAGTAAAATCGTAGGATTTTAGGATTTTACTTAGGGATTCCGATCTTGATTTTACTATAAAATCGGTGGACCTTAAAATCGTTTAAAATCGGGATTTGATCGTAAGAGAACAAAATAGGTGGTTTGAGCCAATTTAAAATAAGTATAACTGTTTCAGCGGAAAGGGCAATGGAATCTTCTCAGATATTTTTCTATTATAAAAATATTCAAAAATAATAAAAATAATCAAATTAGGGTTCGGTTAATCTCCTTCCCTTCACCCCATTTAACTTATTGGTAAAACACCTGTCCTAATATTGGAAGTGTGTAAGAACTAACATCATTATTAACTAATTAATTTATTAATGAATATATTTGTACCAAGCCACTAACATTACTTATTTTATTGGAGTTCTATTATTTTTAGTTTTAAATCATACTTAGTAGACGATGTCGAAATATTACTTTGAGTTAAACAACCTAGACATAACATGAAAATAAGAGCCAAACCCATGAACTATATCCCTTCATCATGAATTATTTTGAGTTACACATTAAATAACAATTAAAATAGTGATTTTGGAACATTAATCTTGAGAATTATCTTATGGAAAAAAATCTTCTGAATTATCATTTTAAATGCTATGTGTCTTTGTGATATTAATATTTACCTTATTAATATTCTTATATGCTATGTTCTATATGGTACTTAAAATCCTACGATTTTACGATTCGATTATACGATTTTGATTTTACCCCAGTTTTTGATTTTAGGTAAAATCTCGATTTTAACTGCTTTGCCCATCGCAGCCTCTCCAAATCTTCCTATTCTACTCGCCGGGTCATCTCCTCCACTACAAAATATCTCCTCATATACTCAAAGTTCTCACTGAAACCTAATATCTACAACTTAGGCGCAGAGGGAGCAACCGATGGATTGTAGCGACCCCCACTATTTTGATAGCTAATCAAGAAGAGCGCATTTGTTTAGTTGTATGGTGATTCACTTAATTAACAATTTTTATTCCGTTGACAGCCTCCTCTCCGCAATTGTATTGTGTTCACGAAGATCTGAAGGCGCAAGTGCAACGGGTCCAGGGGTAAACAATATGTATAAAGCGTTGGCCAAATTGAATTGAGTCATTCTACTTGGAATATGAAGATTTTTGCTTAATTGCTTTGGTTCGTGATGCAACTATGTTATGTTTGAAGGTAGACCAACGCAAACAACAGAACAGCTCTAGGGCTATTCTGCACATTAGGTAGTTGGGGCATTAATTGATAATTATTTGGGATTATTCCTACAAGTACATAATTTGGAACGTGCCTTTATATTGCATTGATTAATAGTTGTTTGAGATTTTTCAAATGAGTGATTTGACATGTTAAACTCTCTAATTTTTGAAAATGGAGTCTTCGAAGTGGAATATGAAGATTTTGGATTAAGCTTGGTTTCGTAACGCCCTTATGGGTGTTTATTCTCTAAAATGCAGCTGTCTTTCAAAGTGCCCGTTGCAAATGGCAAGTCAGGATACAACGACGGTACCGGTACACGTTTATATCATTAGTAGGTAGCAGATTGTGTCCATTCTACTATATCATTTAGCTAAATACTTAGTTGTTCTTTTCAACTAAAAATTATGCTTAAATGATGTGATTGGCCTCAGAAATGTATGTCTTTGCATTAACTGTTAATGATTGTGAGTTTTGGTTTAATGGTGAAAAGTCCATTTATTTAGAAGTCTAAATTGGGCAAACCTATTGGACAATAGGAATGCCATACATTAGTGTCGTGGGAGGTTTGTTTGATGTCTCAGGGTGTTAGATTTTTAAGAAGGTTGTTTGTTGTGGCAGAGAGTCCCTAAAGCTAGCGAGGTATTCCTATGTGGGCTTTTTCTTTGTTTGACTTTTTCTCGCCTTTTTTCTTATCTCTTTTTCTATTTTTGGTTTTTGTGTGCTACCTTCAGTTGCTACGTCTTCATTTGTGAGCCATCTATACTTTTCTTATTCAGTGCCTAAAAATCATATATACTCGATTGCATAGTAGTTACTAATAGATACATTTATACCAATAGAGAGATTTTAAGTTTTGTCAGTTGTTAGTTTTAATATTTACTTACATTGGTTGTTTATGTAGTTTTCTTTGTAATATTTCTCATTATACAACTAATTACTATGGCTACGTAGTTGTATAAGTGGGGGTTGGACATGATAGTTCTTAGAAGCATCAATACTTGAAGGTTATTATAATGACCAAATTCTAAAGTTATGGTTTGCCTTCAACTTGCTTGGAGCATTTCAATTATGCATCAATTGTTCTCTCCGTGTAGTTAACTCTCAGACAAATCGAAAATCTTGCTGATATGTGCTTGATTGTAGTTAAATTTAGGGTTCTACTGCATTGTTGTTTTACTCTTTTTTCGTGGTTGAGTCTGCTTCAAAAAATTTAGTTTGATTTTAGAAAATTTTGCTTCTGCAGTCCTGTCTTGCCACCAACGCGTTCAATAGATGGAGACGGGAGAGGCAAAGGCTATTTTTGTGTTGTTGTTGCTGGTTTAGGGATCGGTTTGTGAAGAAGCGGGAGAAGAGAGGGGGAAAGGGAAATGCAGGAGAGGGGGATAACTCTTTTCTCCGACAAAAATGGAGTGAAGAAAGGAATTATGATTAGTAAGAATATGGTTATCTTACATAACGGTCTCTATTCTGTTTGAATTGAGCTTGAGAGGCAGTGATAAGGACGAGCTGCAGCCAATTCATAGTGAGAAGAGAGCTATGAACTGTGATCATGTCTTATTTCAAGTTAGAAGGTAGTTTCAGTATAAGGATTATTTAATTTGACAAGTTGTTTCGTCCATGATTCTTGGTAGTTTCAGTGCCATTCTAGCCAATGTTTAGTCTGTAATTTTTGAGAATTGATGTGCGAGTAATGACTTTCACTTAGCTTCAACTATTATGTGTGTATTTATTGGCATGTGATAGAATTCTCTTTTCCTTTTCATTGAATTCATTTTCATACTCTAATTGTATTATTTGTACATAGGCAAATCATGCTCGAGATGGCAACTCGCTGATATGGCTGGTGCAAGGAATGAAGCCATCATTAGAATTCAGACCGACAACGGGGAGGGATGCCCAGGACTAATTCAATGATGATTGATGATGGTATAATAAAAACTGCAGTCTGCATCAACACCAATTTCTAGGCCTAAGTAAAGGTATTCAACCCAGAACTCTGTTAGCGCTAAAAATTGCCCTCACCCAACCTTGATCCTGTTTGACCCACTTCTGAAGAGTCAAGATATATGACTAATCCTCCCCGTTCGTATTTTCTTATTGACTCTTTCTGACCCTGTAGGTTGGGGCGGGTCGGGAAGAATTGGATTAGTGGGTCGGTCCTAATCAAGTGGAATCCCAATCCCTTCACTCTCACTTGCTTTCTCTCCCATTCCACAAGTGGGTAACATACAGTAATCCGGCCAACGGGCCGGGTAATAGGCTAGTTTGGTTTATTATAGCAAACCTGCGTTCATTAGTTCAGCATAAACGGTGAATAGTCATTAAGCATTAGGGGTGGTTTGGAGAATACGATTTTAAATCTATAGATTATCAACAATCTCTCAATTATTATATGATGATTATGAAACTTTCCACTTTATTTTTTTTTATGAATGGATGGGATCTTATTTCATCAAAATACAATCTTTACAATGTTCTCCAAGGTATTAACTCACTACCCCTTCTACTTTCTATACAAGTAAACAAAAACCTGCAAAAACACAGGGAAACCTAGCACATCAGCTAAGCGATAATCTGTACCACAAACGCCTAGACATGGCCAAATCAGCGAAACCAGGGTCTCCTAGCTCTTTAGCTTCCATTACCTCCCGCAACTTCCTCACAAGCTCTTCAACCGTCAATTGCTTCCCGCCAAATCTCACTCAGCACGAGACACCAGAGGACCCTACCCAC